CAGAAGCTTCCTTAGTGAGTGTTGAATGAAAACCAGAGTTTGAATCATTACGACCCAAATTCATATCGTCATGAATCAAAACCCTAGCTCAAAACTAAAGTACAGGAGAAACTTTGAGCATTTGCAAACTTAAACTCTGGACGAATTAATTGACATGTTTGGAGGTCTGAGAAGCTTTGAACATTTGGAAAACCCTAGAAGAAAATTTTAAAGGAATGGGAGGGCAAAATCTTGGGGTACAATAGAAAGCATAACTGATTTTTTCACTGGGGTTACGAAACTAGTGAATCAAATCAAGGTATATGGAGAAGTGTTGACAATAACATTAGTTGTTGAAAAGATCTTGGGGCCATTGGCTTCAAAGTTCAACCAAGTGGTGGTAGCCATAGAAGAGTCGAAAAATTTGTCGACATTGACAAAAGAAGAGCTTCACGGGACACTTGAATCTCATGAACAAAGAATGGTTGAAAGAGCTGCATGAAAGTCAAAGAGTGACGTGGCTTTGCATGCATAGTCATCAAGAGAAAAGAAAGACAAAGGAAAGTGGTTCGACAATAGAGATAGAGGAAGCTATAAAAATTCGACTGGTAAAAGAAACCAGCATGAAGGAATTGTGTCGAATCAAAGAAGACCTACATACCAAAGTAACCAAAGAGGTGGTGCTGGAGGTAGAGGAAGAGGTGGTGGTCATAAACTTGACAAAAGTTACATTCAATGTTTCAATGGTTAGAAGTATGGTTACTATTCTAATGATTGTCCATAAAAACAAAAGAATCAAGAAAGTGATGCAAATTTTACAAAGCGCAAAGAAGAGATGATATTGATGGTCACAACAAGAGATAAAAAGAGATTCAAGGACCAATGGTACTTGGATTCAGGATACTCATCACAAATGTCTTGAAGGAAAGATTGGTTTGTCAACATAAAACCCTCAATGAAGAACATGGTGAAATTTGCAAATGACAATACTCTAGAAGCTGAAGGTATTAGAGACGTTCTGATTATGAGGAAAGATGACAAGTGGTCAGTAATTTCAATTGTGTTGTACATACCAGGAATGAAGATCAATTTGCTCAGTATATGGCAGTTGGTCGAAAAGGATTATAAAGTGTCGATTGAAGGAAAGATGATGAGAGTCGTCGACACAAGAGGAAGATTAATCTTGAAGGCTCGTATGTCTCAGAATAGAACCTTCAAGATTGAACTTAATGAGATGGAGCACAAGAGCCTTGCGATTGAAGCAAGCAGATATGAATGGATATGGCACTATCGACTAGGCCATCTCAACTTAAAAGACATCAGAGACTTGAAAAAAAGAAATACGGTTTTAGGGTTTCCAGAAATTGACATTCCAAACTAAGTGTATAAGGAATGTATGTAGGCGGAGCAGCACAAGAATAACTTCAGTAGGGATGTAGGAAGAAATTCGAAGGCTATTCTTGAAGTCATATGCTTTGATGTATGTGGTCCAATCCAGGTGGATTTTATTGGAGGTAACATGTACTTTGTCACATTCATAAATGATTTTAGTCGAAAACTGTGGTCTTACCTGATCAAGAAGAAAAGCGAAGTTATTGATGTATTTTCCAAGTTTAAATCTATGGTTGAAAGATAAAATGGTTGAAATCTCAAGATTCTGAGGACTGGTGGTGGTGAAGAATATGTGTCGAAAGACTTCAACATGTTATGTGAGAAAGAAGGGATTATGCATGAGGTGGTTCCTCCCTACACTCTACAACAGAAAGGAAGAATATAACCATCATGAATATGGTAAGAAGTATGTTGAATGTCAAGCATTTAACCAAAGAGTTATGCGAGAAGTTGTGTTTACTGCAACATACATCCTGAACAGATGTCTGACGATGAAGCTATAAAGGATTACGCCAGAAGAATGTTGGTCTGGTGTCAAGCCTAACTTGAGTCATCTGAAAGTATTTGGATCTATAGAACATAGACATATGCTAGATAAATTGAGAAGAAAACTTGATGGCAAGTCGAGTCCAATGATCCTAATATGATCATTTTACTGGAGGTTACAAGTTGTTTGACCCAGTGAACAAGCAAGTAGTGATCAACAGAGACATGATCATAGATAAGCTTAAGGAATGAGATTGGACTGAAAATGTAAATAAAGACTCAGTGAGAATCTTTTATGAAGAACCATTCACTGAAGTCGAAAGAGAAGAAGTCTGACAAGAAAAGTCAGAGGTGAAGCAAGCCCAAGCAGACCTCAAAGAACAAGACGCATGCTTGCAAGGTTGCAGGAATATTTTATTACATCAGATAATGAAGGTGAGATGGTACACTATACTTTCTATGCAGATGTCGAACTAGTGAATGCATGTGAGGCATTGAAGGATTCCAAGTGGGTGAAAGCTATAAATGAGGAATCAAAATCCATAGAAGTCAACAATATGTGGTCACTTGTTGAATTGCCTCAAGGCAAGAAGGAAATTAATGTCAAGTGGATATACAAGGTGAAGTTGAATCCCAGAGGGAAAGTAACTCGACATAAGGCAAGACTTGTGGCGAAAGGATTTCTTCAGAAAGATGGAATCGACTTCGATGAAGTTTTTGCACCTTTTGCTACGATCAAAATAATCAGCTTGGTTATTGGTCAAGCAGAAATGAAGAGTTGGAACATATGTCAGATGGACGTGAAATATTCATTCCTAAATGGACCCTTAGACGAAGAAGTTTATGTTGCAGAATCAGTTGGGTTTGTGAAACAAGGCGAAGAGAGAAAGGTGTACATACTATATAAAGCCATGTATGGACTCAAAAAATCTCTAAGAGCCTTGAATAAGAAGATTGAGAGTTTTCTAAGGGAGAAGGAATTTATGAAGTACACAACTGACTATGGAGTATATATAAGAAGAAGCAAGAGTGAATTGCTTATACTATGTCTCTATGTTGATGACTTGTTGAGAACAGGTAGCTACAAGAAAGAGACTGAAGACTTCAAAGGTGATATTAGCAAGGAGTTTGAAATTTTAGATCTGGGAGACATTTCATATTTTCTTGGTATCGAGTTCTACAAGAGTAGTAGATGATTGATGATGCATTAAAGAAGACATGCAACTGAAATACTCAAAAGATTTGAGATGGAAAACTACTACTCGAATTTGATACTTGTTGAACCAAGACTGTAACTGTCAAAAGACTCAGATGAAAATGATGTTGATCCAACCCAATATAGAAGACTTATTGGGTCATTAAGATACCTTTGTCACACAAGGCCTGACTTAGCATACAGTGTAGGTATGATGAGTAAATTCATGCAGAAGCCAAAGATATCACACTTAGTAGCAACGAAAAGGATATTGAGGTATCGAAAAGGAACTCTCGACTATGGCATTTTGTTTCCTGCAGCTGATAACGGAAAAGGATGCAAGTCAATGGGATACATCGACTCAATTTAGTGTAGTGATGTTGAGGATAGAAAATCCACAACTGATTATGTGTTTATGCTAGGTGGTGCACTAGTTGCTTGGAGTTTAAGAAAAGAACCAGTAGTGGCATTATCTTCGCGTGAAGCAGAGTACATAGTTGCTTTTATTTGTGCGTGTCAAGCAACATGGAAGGTGAAATTGGTCAAAAAGATAACATGGAAGGATCGTGGAGCAATTACCATGAAGATCGGCAACATGTCAGCTATCAAGCTGGCAAAGAATCTTATAGCACATGGTCGAACCAAGCATATTGAAACGAGGTTCCATTATCTTCGTGAGCAGGTAGCAGAAGGGAATATGAAATTGGAACACTACAAAACTGAGAATCAAATTGCAAACATCATGACAAAAGGAGTGCAAGTCAAAGTGTTCAAAAGACTAAGAGTTATGATGAATGTAGATAACTTAGACACAATGACTTAGGTGGTGCGTATAGATTGTAATTCCCTTGTGTCGAAGCAACATGTTGCTCGACAGAATAAGGATGTGTCGAAATAGTCTAGCCTAGTGTGTCGAAGTATGTCTGTCGAAGTGTCAAAGCAGTTAGCTTCACACAGGATTTCGACTTAGGTCTAAATAGTTATTTTGGGTTTTTTGTATTTGTGGATTTTGCCTTAGGGAGCAAGCAAGCTCATTATAAATAGAGGGAGTAACCTCTACTTTTGTAATCACTCACAACTTGGATTCACAGAATTTTGCAGTTGCAAAATAAATAAGATTTTTCTGCAGTTTGTTGCATAAATCACCATCTTCTTCCCAATTTCGTAAAACTCTAATTTATTTTCTTTCTCAATTTTCTTTTTTTCTTTTATTGTTATTATATATTATTAATAATCTTGTTCATCAAAACTGATAGCAATTCACTGTAGATTTTGGTGGATTGAATTGATAGTTTGAAATTATAATTAGCCAAAGAAAATGTTATAATAAGATAGGATACAAAATAAAAAGAGTATCTATTAATAAAAAGTAGCTAACTTGTGCCTTGTACAAATTGAAGAGAACAATATGAAAACCAATGGACATGATATATGGCTATCTTTTGTTCTATTTATAATTTGAAGAGCACACTGGAAAAATCAATGGATATGATTTTTTTTTTTGGAAAAATCCATGGATACGATATTAATACCAGGTGACTATTACTATCTCCGGTAATATATCGATATGATACATCGATCAGCAAATTAAAAAAAAATACTCTCCATTCTAAAATATAAGAGAAAATTCATCTTTCATCTTTTTTAAAATAAAATAAAACGAAAATTATATTTAATTTACCTTCTCTTTTATCATTTTCATAACCAACAACTAATTAGAATTGTTTTTATATTTTCTTAAATACTTTATTTCAAAAAACACAAATTAAATAATTATATTTTTACTTTTCTTAATAAGTCTGTTTTTATTTGTTTTCCTTATATTTTGGGAAGGATGGAGTAACATTTTCGTTATAAATAAAAGGATAAAGGGAGTATCACACAAGCAACTTGCATTCATAGAAGATCAAAACAAATTTATAGAAATCATTAGTAATAACACCAGTAGTCAAATAAAAATAATTTCGCATTGTGAAGAGCATCCTACAGCAGAGAATAATTCATTCAGAACTTCAAGCTTGTCGAAGGGATCTAAGGAAGGCGGGGTGTGGAGGATCACAGACTGTATTGATGTTGAGTTCTTGATGATATACTTAACAAATTTCAATTCACATCTATAATAATTTGTTATTTTACACTTTCTAAACTGCGAAGAAAAGCATTTCGGAACAATGGGTGGCACAAACCATCTGTGGTACAATGGTTTCAGAAGTTGAGGCTTGTCAAAGAGAAAACTTTGAAGATTTGGACAATCATTGAGCATTCCATATACCATGAACCAATTAACCTCCATTTTCGCAAACACAAGCTCCAAGTGAGTTAAATTGGAAAAAGCACCACGATCATACACCTGCATGAGTTATGCATTTATCAAATAAATGAAAAACTGAGATATTAAAAGACGAAAAGACGTTATTATTCTTAAATAAATTATTAAAAAAAAAAACACATTATTCAAACCTCTTCCAAGCGCAGGAACTGAACGTTCGACAAGGCAGTAAGAGGAGGAACATAATAAAAAGGATGTAAATTATTAATGTCTGCCCTGATCAAATTGGATAACTTCATAAACTTAACCTTATCCCCAAGAAACCCGCATCCATACAACAAAGTTAAGTCTTTTGCTTCAAATTCTTCAAGATTTGGACACCCATTAAGAAGTTCACAAAGATACTGTCGTTTCTTGAAGTAAACTTTAAACAAACGAAGAATTTTGAGTGATGCAAGTTCAACAACAGTAGAAAAATCATGAAACATTATCTCTTTTAACTTGAGAACAACAAGAGTTCTAAAGCTGAAAATGAAACAAGGAGAATGTGGAAGGTATACCAAGAGTTCAAGATGCGTCATTCCACGTTCTGCTACCGCAGTTAAAGACTTAATGAAAAGGGAAGTTTCCACTCCCGCGTAGAAAGAAATGGTTACTCTTGTGATAGGAATCTTGTTTTCAATGTATCTTGGTACCATATGTGCGAAAAGGGTTGCACAAACCATCATCACGAAGTTGGGATAGGATTTACTGCGGGTTTGCACAAAGCGTTGATCGTTGATGTCGAGTGTGGGAACTAGGAGGGGAAGATGCATCCATCTCTTTGAAAGAACAGTTGTGGCATAAACATCTTCTGTTGGCAGAAAAGATAGAATGTGAGAAAGGATTTCATTCGGCAACAAACTAATCCTGTCGTCCATTTCAAATTGATTATGCAGTTGGTACTTTGGATACTTATAGCAATTTCCTTTCAGCAATCTCACATGTCCGTTTGTTTCCTCAAGAAAATAACGATAACCTCGATGGACTTAATTATTGAAATGATTAGTTTTTGGCTTTGAGAAGGGAGACAATTTAATGGTGAGGCTGCACGCCTGCACTTAATGTTTTGTTTTGCTTCTTCAAAAATCTTTTCTACATGAATGGACGCTTCGATATTTGTTCTCTGTAATGTAACCTGAGGAGCTTCATCGCCCTACATTCAAGTGCTTCTTTTAATGTGTTTTTTAGTAATGGTAATGTTACTAGAAAATATTGTTAAATTTTTAAAAGTTGAGAAATAAGTCACAGAATAAAATTTGTCACCGATGGTAAAATTTAATTCTTCCTGGTAATTTTTAATTTTTAGTCAAAAATTCACATTTTAGTGTTTTAATATATAAAATTTATATTTATATAAAAAATTGATAACCAAACTTTATTAATTTAATAAAAAAAATATAGTATAAACTAAAATTAGTGTATAAGATTTATTAGATAATATTATAAATTTTTATTCCGTTAATAATATATACAAATTTAAAAAAACTTTATATTACTATTCTATTTTTTATTATAAATCGTTTTGAATTTTTCACACCTATTAAAAAAATAATGGTTGTGGTAAGAAAATGAGAAATTATGCAGGTTTTTATAAAATTGTCCTTCATTAATTGATGACAGATGACTGTTGGCTGAAGATTTTGATACTGTGATTCGAAATGAAATCACTATGGTTGAGCTTTGTTTGAATATTTGATGATTTGGAATGAAAGAGAATGTTTGTTTCGAATGAAAATATTAGAGTTCAAGGTTTCGAATGATAAGTTGTGGAGTGTGAGTCTAAAGCCTTGTTCGAAATAATCATAAGAGGATATTTGTGAAGGTCATTTTTGGAAATAACCTATGAACAAACTCGAAACGAAAAGTTCCAAAACATTTGAAATTCAAACATGAGCGGGATATTGGATATTCAAATACACAAGCATAAGAGTGTTCGAAGACGCGTGGAGGCTAGAGGGAAGCAATGCTCTGCATGCTTCGAACGTGGCAGATTCTGATAGCAAGTCCGTTATGGTCGAATAGTATAAATAGAAGTCTTATTGTTAGGATTTAGTGTGTCATATCTGTTGTACAAATTCAATAAACATTCAAAATACCGCATGGATAGGGAAACGAATGCTCGAAAGATGTACGTATGATAACACCAGCATTTACAATTCAATGAAAACTCTTTACATTTTCCAATTTTATCTTTCACTTCCGTTTCATTTGTGTTTCAAGCAATTTTATGTTTATGCCTTTACATTAAAGCCTTTGTACTCGAAGTCATTTATTCCTTTCTGCATTTAAATACTTTTCTTATGGTCGAAACCTCTAAACATTTAGTAACTTTTACATCCACCCATTTAATCCTGCCATTTATCCAATTTCAAGTCTTTAAACTTTTCTCATGAATATTCCTAATACCATATAGAAGTTATCCTTCGAACCATTCAGTATAGTAATCGAAGCGGATTGGATATCTTTGGAACAACTCTAATTCGAAATCCTAAATACAAATGTCAGTTTTACAATTAGACTTAGCCAAACAACTATGTTTCATAGGATCAATCTAGTCGATCCTGTAAGTTACCAGAGAGATTGAATAACAGTAATTAAGTTTATTTGATAGTTTGGAAGACTAGCAGTTGTTCACCAGAAATCACTGTGAACAAATTGGCACACCTGGTGGGACCCGTTGTTAAGAAAGTTGAAAGTAAAGATTTTTTTTAGGATATAATCTTGTTGCGTAAGTTCTTTTCTGGATATCGATTTCGCTGTTATATGAACCTTAGAAGTGGTAAAACAACTAATAGTAACCAACCCTTACCCAGAAGAAAACGTAGTGGTGGGATGTCTAATCCAAATAATCAACAAGGGGAACAAAATATCCCACATGGAACAGGCACCAATGCGTCTATTTCGACAGGGACGTCTAACGCGATCCCTACGAACGCACAGTCTGTTGCATCTTCTACCAGTAGTGTGGCCACAAATGGAGCAAGTGGCATGACAACCAACGGTTCGACCCTAGGAAATACAGGGACCACTGGTTATCTTGCGGGATTTGTCCCACCATCAGGGACACAAACCCATTTCGCCACCCCACTAACTAGACCACCCGGTTTCGATGGCAACAGACATGGAAATCCCTCTTATGGGATGCCAACATCTTTTATGGCAGGTTTACACAATTCCACATCAAATGCGTCACCACAATTTGGATCTGGATCTGGGGCCAACCAATTTATGACAAATACCCAAGGTTCAGTGGGTCACAATACATTGCATATCTTAACCACAGAAAATCAGATGGCCTTTAGACAATTAATGGATGATAGTAACCATAATATGATAGGAGTGTTAGCACAGACTATGCAAGAAATCTTTGCCCCAATAGTACAAAATGTAACTGTAACCAACAGAGAAAACACGGACAACATGAGTCGAATAGCAGATTTTTTCGCTCCGCCAGAAAGGCGTAGGCAGAATCAGGCGGGGGTTCGAGCGAACATACCCATCATAGAACAAATTGCTGATGACCCACCCTATAGACCATCCAGAGAGGGGGTTAACTTGGGGGCAAGGGCACAAAGGTTAGAAGCCCCAGTGATTCGAGAACCACAAAGGGGAGTTATAGAACCAGGGGCAAGGGTCGAATGGTTAGAGGTCCCAGAGTTTCGAGAAGAACAACCTAGAGGAGTTGTCATGGTGGGTCGACACCAAGATGCTGATGAAGTCATTCATAGAATTCGAAATGACAACATCTTGGCAGAAAATAATTTAACCACCATGATAGAAAGGATTATGGCTCAAAATGGTCTCAATACAGGTATTAAAAGGCCAAACTATTCCTCTCCCATAATAGATTATGTGATGCATACTGATTTACCAAGGGGATATAAAGTCCCTAAATTTACAAAGTTTGCTGGAGACACCAATGAGTCAACAGTCGAACACATAGCCAAGTATCTAACCAAAGCAGGAGATATAGCGAATAATGAAGACCTTAGGATTAAATATTTCCCAAGTTCCCTAACTAAGAACGCTTTCACATGGTTCACCACTTTGCCTCCTGGGTCCATAGATACTTGGACTCTTTTGGAGAAGTTATTTCATGAACAATTCTACATGGGACAATCTAAAATAAGCCTGAAAGAGTTAGCCAGTGTCAAGAGGAAGTTTACTGAACCCATAGATGATTATCTGAATAGGTTCAAACTCTTGAAGTCTAGATGTTTCACAGTAGTTCCTGAACATGAGTTAGTCGAAATGGCTACTGGTGGCCTGGACTACTCCATTCGAAAGAAATTAGATACACAACACTTGAGGGATATGGCCCAACTAGCAGACAGGGTTCGACAAGTCGAAAGACTAAAAGCCGAGAAGGCCAGGGTTTTTAAAAATAACAAGAAAGAAAGGGTCTCCTATGTCGGAACTGAGGAAGCAGAAGATTACCCTGAATTCGAAGAGGTCGAAATTGATCTCGCTGAATTGAAACAGGCTCCCCCTTATTCCTGTAAATTACTAGTTCCCACAAAAGGGAAAGAAATTATTGAAAATGAGAAAAGTGACAAGTTTCCAAAGAAGGTTTATACCTTCGACGCAACGAAATGTGATGAAATTTTTGATTTGCTTGTCAAAGATGGCCAACTAATAGTGCCATCAAATGTCAAATTACCACCTTTAAATCAAAGAAATAAAAGAGGATTTTATAAGTATCACAGTTTCTTAGGCCACAAAACCTTACAATGTTTTCTTTTCAGGGATATGATTCAGAATAAAATCAAGGATGATAGACTAAGGTTCGCTGACAAGCCAAAAATGAAGGTGGATGATGACCCTTTAGATGTTGCTGACACCAACTACTCTGAACCTGCATACATTGGAGAGATAAACATGGTTGGAGTAGATGAAGGTGACGCTCCATCAGATAAGGAAAACACCGAAGATAAGAACTGCGTGTTAGTGGAAGTCGAAAAGGAAGTTACTGAGGATTTCCATAAGGAACAAGAGGCTTCAATCGAAGCAGTTCCTTTGATTGTTTCGAAAGAGATCCAGGCTACTGAAGGCCAGGAAAACCAGAAACAAAATTTGACACAGGCCACTGAAGGCTTGAGGCAAAAGTTGGAGAAAGTACATATCACATTGCCAGTTCTTCCTCAGAAGGAAATATGGGATACTTTGGGGGAACCCAGCGGAAAGTTCGATTACATGGTGAAGTATTCCGCCCCAGAAAGCTCAAAGACCCGAATTGAAGACATCAAACCTACAGGTTAGGGAGATACTGATATCAAGGGAGAAGATGTGGATGTTAACATGGTAAACATGGAGCAACCTTGTTCTGAAATGGAAGAAATGGAAAGGTACTTAGAGAAAGAAAAATACAAGATGGAAGACAGGTATGCTAGGGATGCCAGTCTCAAAGATTACCTTATGTTGTGCCACAAAGAGAATGCTGCAATGATGTTGTGTCCCGGATGTAGCATCATTTGTAATCAGAGAATTGCTGCAGACTTTGAAAAAAGACAAAGGGCACGAACAGGCGTTAACTGGCGCCAGGATAACCAGCTGTTCAGATGCTACCCTAAGGCTGGAGAAAGTCTTATGGGGTTTTTAGTTTGTTGTCACAAGGGGGCAACCAAATGCTTAGTGTGTCCAAGATGTTCTGCAGTATATGATCAGAAAGTGGCTGAAACCTTAGAAACAACCCCTTTCGCCCCATGTTGGAACCACAAAGAAATTGGTCAAATGGGCCAACGTTTCGAGAACAACTACACCCAACGGAGGCCTGAAAGCCCTTATCCTAGAGGCGCTCGAAGGGTAACATTTAAAGTTCCTGCTGACGCACCAACTGACAAGTGGCTACAAGTTAGAGCTGACAATGGGAGAGACAAGT